AACGAGATTTAAAAGTTAAAAATGTTACAAAACTGGTTAGAATATACAAAATAGGCAGAAAATAAAGGACAAGAGAAGGAAAAAGAAAATAGAAATAGAAAAGACAAGCACTAGCAAAACATTTAGTTTTTAAAATTGAAATTCATAGTTCTATTATTTATATATTACTGATTAATATTACAGCAATAATGGTATCCTGATATTTCAGTAGGTTTATTACTGTAATATTGGTGTCTTTAGCAATGTTACTGAAAAATTTATTCTGGGAAGCTGAATATAGAGACATAGCACAGTTATTGATTCGTATTTCACGTCAGATATTCCTGAAGAACAGGATAGAGGGTTGCCCGAGACAGAAATCAGATTTCCAGCAATGACAGAAGAGAGTGACGAGATTTACATAATTACGAATATGGTTATAAAAACTGAAGCTATTAAAACATCCATTCCAGACAACTTGCAGCCATGTAATCTTAAAGGAATGGAAAATGCTTGCTGTTTTAAATGTTTTTTTATATGCTCACTATATACAGAAAAGATGTCAGGAGAGGGATTAGAATATAATTTCTAAATGGGTATCAGAAATACTTGAAAAATGTGGCCCAGTGAACGTAACACCAGTTGGAGCAAAAAGTTTTGGAAACTGGTTTGATTGTTCACAAATACATTGGCTGTTAAGAGCATTCGCTTCGCAAGCGAAGGGACCTGGGTTCAATTCCGGGCCAGTGCGAAATGTTGGGCAAGTTTCCTTACTCCAAATGCATGTTTACCTATCAGTAAGTAGGAACCTGGTTGTTAGTCGACTGGCAGATCACTTTTCTGGCAGTAATAATCCTCCCAAAATAAATTAATAAATGATAATAATTTGGTCACTCAATTTGCTCCATGCTGACTGTTTATGGGACACAGCTGTACACAATTGGCTACTGCATTTCGCCCACAAAATGTACAGTCAATTTACTTTACACTATATTTTGTGAAGCGCTTTGAGACGTCTTGTAGACGCGAAAAGGCGCCTTTTTCAAATGCAAGGATTATTATTATTACTATAAAAGTACAACTTATTAAAGGACATGATATATATGGGTTTCCTGACAAATGACAAGGTGTCATTTATTTTTCCATATCACAGAATTATATCATTACAAGATTCTGAAACATTGGTGAAAAATGGTTGTTTTGTGGTTTGTGCAAGAATAAGTCACAAAAGAACCACACTAGACCAGATAGAATAATGTTCATACGAATAATGGTGGAAAAAATAATAGTGATGTGTTTCCGCATGCATCAGACACCTGGCTGACTCCCTCACCCCACCCCAAAAAATAATGTTTATTTATAATGAACCTGTTTCTTATTGTCAAACCAGTGTTTGATTTTATGACATCTCCCATGAAATGAGCTTTCTTGTTTGCTACTAGCTTCTTGTAGAATACTTCAAGTGTTTAGGGAAGCAAGCAGTTTCTGAGATGCCAATTTAATAACATTTTCAAACAAAACAAGCACATTTCAAATCTAATTTATTAAATTAGAATTTCTAATTTGTTCCATGCTGGCTTTTACAGATCCTGATGTGATGGATGATGTTCGTTTGTCGCTTCTAACGCCTTGTAAGATTTTTAATAACTATGGATGTTAAGCTAATCGATCTATAATTCCAAGGTAGTAGCTTTTAAAAAGCAGTCCTATGTTATTCATTTCTGGTCTTTGAGTATCTGTAAAAAATAAACTGGAAAACTTCTCTACTTGTTTTTTTAAGGAGCCTCATTCACAATCTATCAAGTCCACCATGTCTCTCTGTGACTACAGACTTTAATAATCCTTCTGAACTAATGTCTACCTTTTCTCTCTCTCTCTCAATTTTCTAGCCATCTTGATATGGAAATATTCCTGATCCGGTAATCCTTTTTGTGAAGATAGCACCAACACCTGTTTAAAATTCAGCAATTCTGTGATCCTCTTAGTCTAATCTCTGTTTTCATCCTTTGGAGGTGCAAATTGCTGACTATTCCCCTGGCTGGTAGAACGGCAGCTAAATATGTACTTTTATTGATTTTAATGGCCATAGACAAATTACTTTTCTAATTTCCAATTTAGTAATTCCCGTTGCGTTTTGTATTGAACATTATCACATTTTTTCCCACAGACTAACTTACATTGTTTAAATCTTTTCTGATTGTTACAGTTGCATTAGTTTGCTGGCATAATGAAAGATTACCTACCTATTTCCATGCTTTAATTGCAGCTAATTTTATTGCATTTGGTCTCCACTTGTAGGATGTTTTGGTACCTCAACTTCACTTAGATAGTGAGCTAAATTATCAATCTTAGGCTGGTTGGCTCCAGTGCATTCAGTATTTTTCTGCTTTTGTAATAGGACAGTTGGGGACCCACTCAATCTGATTGCAGTTGGAGATTTTGGGATACCATTAACTATCTATCAATTGGCATCCTTGAATAATGCAGCTATTTGTCAGGCTGCCCTTTTCTAGACTCACTGAAATTATGAATTTTCCACTTATTTCTTAAGCCATATTGGCAATTAAATGCCTAGTTGTATCATTATAAAATAATTATGCTAATGAATGTATTTTTTAAATTATACCATGTTCTGACTTACTAATAAATTGAAATTAAAATAACTTTTTAGCCCTTATACTCTCCCTTACCTCATTATTTGTTCATGTTGACCAGATCTTGATACATTGCAGAACCATTATAACATTCTTTTTTATAGCGCAAACTTACTTAAGACACAGTTGTAGTGTGGACCACATTCACTGCGCATGCAGCAGTCAACTTTCGCACTAAAATGGCTAACTTCCAGGTTGTTAGGTTACAATAATAATAATCCTTACATTTGGGATTATTCACATTATTTTCACATTGAGAGGTGGTCCCCAAGCGCTTTGCAGGATATACTATAAAGTGTAGCGACTTTGTGTTTTGTAGGTGAACGCGGTAGACAATGTTGCTGCTATTGTTTGCTGCGCACGCTCAAAACAGGAAGTGACATTGCGATGACCTGGTAACCCAGAAATAAGTCATCGGTCTTTTTCTTTTAGTATCGGAAATGGGTAGCACGCAGGGAATGAGCTAGCTGAGTCGGTGTGAGTGTGTCGTGAAAACAGCTATTGCACCTCGCTATAGGTTTGCATTTAATGGATCCTAACTATTGCATTATAGCGAGACTCTACTATAATCTCTAAAGCCATTGTATGTATTTAACTAAATTCTTGTTAACCTATTTCTTCAAACAAATTTGTTTTCCTTCTTACACATTCTAGCAATTAATCCTTCACTGGAAGTAAAAATAGACGACACATATGTACTTCATGGCTAACTCATTGTTCACCATGTTAGGATGTGGCTGCAATAAGCAAAGTAAACAGAATTTTAGGCAACATTGCAAATTAGTTAAGCTTAGATCGGCAGACGTTAGAGTCAAGCTGTACAATGCTTTGGTCAGGCCAAACCTGAATTGCTGGGTACAGTTCTGGTCACTCTGATAGAAGGGATTACCCATACCACAGAGGTAGTGTGAGCCACTCGATTTGTGGTGGGCCACTCGGGTATCTAATACATGCGGAAACCCATCACCATGCTTAAGAGTATCCAAACCAAACTGAAATTCCATGAAACCCACTTAGACATGGAAATCCCAGAAATAGATTGTTGGAACGGATAAACTGGTGTTGCTAGATGGTGAATAAAATTCCCTCCAGTGTGCTGGTTCGCCCACAAATATACAGTCATTTCACTTTACAGTGTGTTCTGTGAAGCGCTTTGGGACGTCCTCCCAACGTGAAAAGCGCTATATCAAATGCAAGGATTATTATTATTATTATTATTCATCCACAAAATACAGTAGCCCCCCACCTTACCAGATTCTAGGTATTTGGAATTCAGACCTAGCCGGACTTGGCCAAATCAGAAAAATTACAAACAAGATTCTGCAGGTCTGCATGTAGACTCTCACCTGCCCACTCTCCCAGAGCATGCCCCCGCTTCACTGTGCTTGCTGGCCTCCACAATGGCCAGGGATATCGACTTTGACTCAGTTTGAATCCCACAAGCAGAAAATTGCTTATTTCCTATCTCCTGCTCACGGGATTCAAATAATTAAAATGTTGGTCTCGGCAATTAGCAGCACCAAAAAAACCCGGCTCCAAAAATCGCCGGTGCATGCCAGTACTGGCATTGTAATTACACTTTGCCGCAAATTCAGGCTTGCTGGACCAGATCTCCTACCATCAGTCTGTCTAGTTGGGGTTTTAGTGTTCACAGTTACTAAATCTTACAATATATTCTGCAAAGTGCTTTGAGACATCCTCCTTATCTGAAATGCACTATATCAAATGTAAGGATCATTTACTTATTATTATTATAATAGTTTTCTTGAGATTTTGTGAAATCAGAGACGGTGAATTGATTAAGTCTACAATGAAAACCATTTGTGAACCTCTAAATAAATCATTTCCTTAAGAGTTCCACTGATTCTGAGGCAACTCAAACAGATGATCACAGGCTTGTACATTTCCTGAACATTTCCTCATCTGACTAAACACTTCCATGTCAGCTTCCTCGCACCTTCCCAATGCTTATTAAAAATGATCTAGAATGGTTTTCCTATTATATTATTGCCGAATTTCATTCAGACTGATACTAACAGGTTATCAGCCAGTGCCATTGCGCTGCCTCCCACAGCAATGTTATTAAGATAAAGCTGACCCTCACTGAAAAAGTCCTGCTTACACAAGGCTAATCAACTTAGGAGCTAAGCCAACTTGCTGTTTTACCTTATCTTTTCCATTTGGTCTTAAAATGAAAAAAGTATAAATTGCTTTCTCTGAGTATAACACTCACACTAACCATGTTAAAATTTATGTATATATTTATCATGCTTGTCAACAAACATAAGCAATCACAAATAACCTTACTTTTATATTAAAATATGATTCCATTCATATTAAATATGTGAATATTAAAATCAGACCCACCTTACTTTCTCCTTCAATTACAGTTATAGGCACTGGGGTGGAGGGCCACTTGCTCTTGGGTGGTAAAGGTCTGTCACAGTTCCATAACACTATAATCTTGAAATTAAAAGTACAGATTGAACATGTTAAATATGTCACAAAATACATTTTAAAAAGCAGTTCGGTACAGACTACACCATGGTGTGATGCAGATTCAATCGCTACACATCAAAAGGTTCCCAATCTAAGTTCTTCAATGGCAGGAGCTAAACATTCTACACCCCAGACTGTTACAATGCTGGTTGTAATTATGGTCCATGCTGAATTAACTGATTTCAGCTAGGGCAGCAATGTTAGTTCTTCAACTGCAGTAGCAAAGGGAAAGAGCTGACAGTATTCATGATCACTATTCAGAACGCCCTGCTGGAGTATACATGTGCGTGGATGCCAAGTACGGAAAGGATTTAGCTTGGTTGTATTGTCGTGCCCACCGACCCCCCCATGGTCAAATAGCCTGCCAACCCTCAGTGTCTAGACTCACACAGGCAATTGACCATTCGAGCAAGGTACTTGAAGGTGCTCAACCATAGCCCAGCAATGGATTCAAGACACCTTCACGAGAGGAGCCAGAATATTCGAGAAAAAAAATATGAAGTGGGGGAGGGGAAAGGAATCACGTGATTCATGTCAACATCCTTTTAATTTTTCTTCAAACATTTTCATTAATTGATTGTATATTTTTGTTTAACTGTGCAGGCTGAATTCATCATCAGGAGAATTGTCTTGAGGACCTGTAAGCTGAGTGACAAGATGGAGGGGAACTAAACACAAGGAATAGAAATGATAATGTCATTGGGTAAATTGCTGTACAAGATGCAGAAACCAGTGTAAGCAGAGTATCATTTCTTTCTCATTATATAAAATAAATGCAGGATTCTTTAGCTAAAAAAGTCAGTCTCTTTTCACAGGAAATATCAGTTCTCTCCTGGTACATAATATGCAAATTTATCTGACTCTAAATTATTATTTAATCTTGTACTTAGCTAAAGTATTAATATTTAAAAGCTTAATATATTAGGTGGTATTAAAATAAATCAGCTCATATATAATTGAAATCTTCTTCCTTGGTCTATTGAGTTTAAACTAGCATTTCCTAATCCTAATAAATCATTGCCTAAGCTATCACCATAACTAATCAATTTTGGATACATAAGTCTATTTCTAAGAACCATTTCTTTTTTACAATGAATTTTGATATCAGTCTGGCTCAGTTGGTAGCACTCTCGCCTCTGAAACAAAAGATTGTGGGTTTGAGCCCCAAATGGGAACTTTGGGCTCACAGTCTAGGCTGGTAGACTGGTGGGAGCACTGCAGTGTTGGAAATGCTATCCTTCAATGACATGTTAAACTCTGGATGCTATATTGCTGTGCAAGTTGCTGTTAAAAATTTCATGGCACTATTCAAAAAGAGAAGGGAGTTTCTCCTGGTGTCCTACATAACAACCCCCAGGTAAAACTGTCATTCACTTAATCGCTGCTAGTGGGACATTGCTGTGTGCAAATTTGCTGCTGCATTTCACTAACAGATAGAGTCACTCCACTTTACATAAAATATTGTAAAGTGCTTTGAGATGTTTTGACATTACAGGAGCTATTTCTATTTTTGATCAAATTGACTTCAGCCATATGATCCTACAATGGAATGAGCAATCTAATACTGACTAGATAGGAATAAGTGTGTGGAAGGGCTGCTTCTCGATAACTCAGAACTGGATTTTAATTTAAACATCTTTTACTTATTTGAGAAAATAGCTCACGGATGTCACTTGTGATATATGAGGGGAAAAGACAAATAACAGTGGGTTACAAGTCAACAAATATAATATTTGAATTACTTTTACTTTCATCTAACCCCCCAAATATGTCACTGTCTGTGATGCATGGTCACACATTCAACTTCTGGCACATGAATAGAGACTTTCGCCTGCTGGTGAGTGGGATCAGGATGTTTATTAAGCAAAGAGTCAATACTTGGAGTAAAAACCACAATCCTCACCACCAGTAGAAGCTTTTATCATTGATCTGGAAGTCAATTGCACAAACCCAGCTTCACAGATGTTGGAATTAAAAACAGCATCAGGGGTTCCACTCCAGCATATGCGGTAATGTCTGATTGACACATTAGGAATTTCAAAATGTAATCTTCATATTAGACTCCACTCCCAGAAATGGCATTTGTAACCTACTGTCTCCACTTCACAAAATATTTCAAACCACACAATTAACCTTCTCCTAAAAATGCAGGAAATACATCTTTAAAGTGCGGTACGCTGTGGGTGAAATAAATGGTAGGAAGTGGGATTAAAATGTCTGTAACATTCAATGTCATTTCATAGGAAATGATTTGAGACGTCTTGAAGATGTGATAAGATGCTATATCTAATGCAAGGATTATTATTATTTATAAACCGTTACTGCATAATTTGTATCCTCTATAAACCCATTATACATAAACTTAGGTTCCTTGTATTAGAAACGTATTCCCGTAAATGCATTCATATGCTTTAATCTTTATAACGGGAATAACTTTGGTTGTGCAATTTATTCAGTAGCCTTATTAAATATCTGTTATATTTTAAAACATGTTGAATTTAGCTTCTCACTATTTGCTTCAATCAGTGATGTTGTTGGCCAGATTATTTTCATATTTTTACTTTAGTGTTTGCCAGACTTCAGCATTTTTCTGTCATTGCATAAAATGGTTCATTCTGGTTACTTACTGTAGATTAGGAGGTGTTTACTATAATGTGGTTGCCATGAAGACATATCAAACTCAATTGGCTTGTTAATAGGAGAGGCAGTGAAAATTCACAATATCTGGGAAGTAGGTGTGCGTAGGTGCTTTGGACTTCTTTACCTTTGGATTTCAAGAAACATCTATGCAAATCCAGGGAAATGAGTGGGTGGGATGGTCATTGGGGCTGAAAGACTGTTGTGAAAATGGCATTCTAAATTACATACAAGCTCTAGAAAAAGCACATCAGGATCTGAGTCCTGCCTCCTGCAGGGAATCCCAATATAGGTCACACTGATTGGGGAGAGTTTGGCTCCAAGTTGAGCTCAAGTCTGAACGGATTGTTGTATGTGAAGAATTGCTATCAAGTTATCACAATGGGATTATGTGATCGTTAGATTGATGACAGGATCAGGCTCGCTGTGATATGTTGCTCAGTTCACTTGCCTGCCAACAGTTTGTTCATTTTTACACATGAAAAACTGTCTATATAGGCAAGGTACCTGAGAGGTACTGGTGTCTGTCCCTCCTCCAGTGAAAATCACCACCTTGAAGAGCGAAGGAGTAAGGGGTGGAAACAGTGGGAAAAAAGATCTAAAGTATGGATTACATTCTAAAACATTTGTAATACTCAGTGGAATTTAACAAACAAAATGCTCATGAGTAGCCTGAAATGTAGCTGCATATTGGTGGGAGGAATAAATGGAAGGTCGCTGACTGCAGACTGCTACCTCACACTTTGTTTAGAAAATCTGACATCAGATTCACACAATGCAATGATTCTCTCTTCCAATGAGTCTCAAGTGTGTTGTCCCTATTTCAGCACATAAGCCAAACACACTCTTACCCAGACTTCGTTGAACAATAAAGTGGCATGGCAAGAATGATGAATTTTAAATTCATTTTAATGAAACATACTGTTTGCTACTCAGTGAACCAACAAACCTAACATGCAGTTTTGTCCACTACAAACTAAAAGATAGCTGTAATTTTGCAGACATTATGGTAACTTCTTCTCATTGTAAGTATTTATTTTTGAAGATGGTATTCATCACAAACATTACTGAATATCATGGAGTACAAAATCAGACTCTGGACACGTAAAGGCTATTGAATAAATGCAAATGAACTGTATTAACCTTTGTCAAGGTTTGCTACAAAAATGCTACCATGTTCTCTAAATGGTTGATTATTTTTGCATCTTCATTACATACCTGAGTGCAGTATTTTGATTTAGAAACAGCTAATATCAGTTTTACAATTGGTTGGGACTGCGATAGGAGAGGGGAGACTGCATGAATGACTGCTGTGAACGCCTCTGTTGGGCTTATACCTGAAAAACAAATCAAATTATGTTTACTGGCAGATAGATGGAGAAATATGCAGTGTTACATTCATTGGCAACTATTAGCACAAAAGTGAAAACACCAGATACATAACAATAGGTTTTGAACAGTGTCAGGAAAAATGAAAAGGAGGATTTTGTTAGTCTAGGAAACAAATAATATAAACTTTTTTTAATACAGTCATAGATACTACAGTATAGAAAGAACTTTAGCTCCAGTGGAGTACATGGAATCTACACTGGTACCAACTTCTTCACTGGAGTGGGCAATTCTAATTTCAAGTCCCTGCTAGTCTCCTTTTATATTCCTCTTTAAATATTTATCCAACTCAATTTTAAATAAAATGCTGTTATGATCTCAGTGCCAAGAGTCATTTGTTGCAATAAGCGTCTGGTGAAAAGTTTCTTAACTCTCCCGCTTAACTCTTCAGTGACAGTCCCACTGTTGATTCACCTCCTAGCAGAAACAATCTTTCGATATTTATCCTCTCAAAATCTTTCAGAATTTGAAAAATTTCTATTCCCCCTTTATCCCACATTCTCTCTTTTATTAAAGATTAACAATTACAATCATTACCAGTTGGTTAAGAAATAATTTGTATTTAGCTACTGGGAATTAATTGGTCATGGATAGACAAGATGTTGTTCAGATGGTTATGTTTAACATCCAAGAGATCTGCAAACAAACAGCTATTTGATTATTGGATGTTAGTATTGATATTGCGTGACTAACATTTCACAGGATCACAAGATCGATCTGGATGAAGAAGGCCTTCAGATGTATTCAATCTCATCCCTCCAGAACACCCTACAGTTCTTCCACCCCACCTCCCCAACCCTGCATCAAGTTGCTTGACCTCTAACTCTTCTTCCTCCATTTCTTACAATCCGAATGACAAACCTTATATCTTTGTCAAAGAATGTAAAGACTTTGTTATGATAAAGCCTTATTAAAAGTCAATCAGTCAGTTAAGCAATAAATTATCCAAACTTAGCATTACGTAAGCCAAGCCAAGTAGATCAGGCAGTATATAATGCCAATTCAGATGCAGCGCATTGAGGCTGACAGGTGAATTCATCCATGCAGATAGCAACTGTGACTTGATAATAATTAGGTATATTACATATTTTTTGACAAGGGGATAATGGAGACAGCAGATCGTGCATGCAATTTGCATGTGTAGGAGGAAAGAGGATAAAAAAGGTACGAAAGCATGGAATCAATTGAAGGTTGATCACTGGTCATACTGACTTGGACTCTATCCTTGTTCAAAACAGACCTTTTTTTGTTACATAAAGCAAGACATGCTTAAATGATTGCTTTTTTTTTNGCAATTGTTGTCAGGAGTGCCAATGTAGGGAAAATGATTTTGATTTCATTTTTAATACTACCCCTGCCAATTCCAGACATGCATGGCGGGAGGTAGCTAGCAGTTCTTCTGGATGGGAAAACTTTCTCCCTGAATACAATCACCTGCAGAGAGCTCTTTGTCATACAATTATGATTGTTAGCACAGAAACAATATTCTAAATACAGACTTGTCTGCTGAAGGTGAACACACCTAATGCTTTATGGGATGAAAAATGGAAATTTAATGTGATACTGGTGATAATTATCATGGATTGCATTTTTCAACCCAAGTCAGGCTAAGATTACTTTGAGTTTGATAACATCTCAAATTCCATAGAAAATAGATTCCCAGCTTCATTTAAGACCCTTACTTTTTCTTTCAATAATGCATTTGGAAACTGTGACTGACCACTTACAATGATGGACAGAAAAAGTGCCACGACTCAATATCATTTAGTCTGTGTCCTAAAACTCCAAATTCCCCAGAGGCTACTCATTTGTAAATGTTGTCAATGGAAAGATATTTTGTTCAAAACTGCATATCACAGTTTTTAATGGGAGTTGCTGTTTAATAAGGACAAGCTATTTCTGAGCATTTACCTTAAATCTTATAATATTTTGCCTGAATTTAATTTAACATACTGCTTCTTAATGATAACGGAAATGAAATATGTGAATGGTTTGTTTCTGAAACAAAGCTAATGTCTGATAAAGTGAGGTTAATTATTAAATGTGTATAAGATCTACACTTTAGATCTATTCATACTATTAAATCTAGTATAAAATGCTTATGATACTGAGGTGACAGGTTATAGATCAGACAAGCGGTTGATTGAATATACAGCTGTGTAAATTCTCCCAATCTCCTCATTGTGCTGTTGAAGGGTTTGATGACTTAAAACCTAGTTACCTGAGCCATACAGACCTGGGATGGCCAAGGTTTTGGTCCCTGCTCTGGGAAGAGAAAGCTGATCTCATCCAGGGATTACAATTGGGAGAAACTTCCTTCTCTTTACAAATAGTGTCATACAATCTTTATGTCCACCTAAACAAGCAGACATGACCTCTACCTCTTTAGCCTCACACATGAAGAATGGCCAGTTGATCAAGGTATTGTAGCAAAGGGATCCTAGCCTATCAAATGTTGCCCTAGCAAGAGTCAGTACCTTCAGGAAATGAGGATCAAAAACTAGAGGGGGAGAAAAAAATAGTAAAAACAGTCTACAAAATGCAGTTATTGTATAGCAAATGTTTAGTAAAGTATCATTGCATTTACAGAACTCTTTACCATGTAATCCAAATGAGTTTCATATAATGCTTCTGTGCTGTGATCAAAAGTGACAAGGTTAAAATTTGTTTATTGACCTAATGACTATGTAATATTTATGAAGGAAACCTGACATATTTGCATTTTCTACATACTGATTGTGAATTCCTGTCTCCATGGCAATAATACTTAGTATTTAAATTTATAACAGTTTGAAATTGAATAAATGTAATAATCAGTCATGCAAACTTAGAAACAGGTCAGCTGTGAATATTATGCTTTCTATTAAAACTATGACTGTTGGTTTCAAGAATAATAATAATCCTTACATTTGGTATAGTGCCTTTCATGCCAGGAAGACAACTCAAAGTGTGTCACAGGATATATTATAAAGTGGATGAACAATATGTTTTGTGTGTGAACGTGGCAGCCAATTTGCACAATGTTCCACATATAGCCATGAAGTGAGTGATCAATTTTATTTGAGGAGTTGTTGGCCATGATGCCAGGAGAAACTCCCTTCTTTTTTCGAATTGTGCCATGGGATCTTTAACTTTCACTGAACAGGCAGCTAGGACCTAGGTTTAACTTATCATCTGAAGGCACCACCAACAATGAAACAACCCCCAACACTTCATTGGAGTGTCAGCATGGTATATATGAGTTTCAAGTTCGATGTGTGCCTGAACTCAAGCCTTCTGATTCAGAAGTGAGAATGCTACCAACTAAAACATGTTTGTTGAGAAAACAGCAGTGGAAAAGGTGTGTTGATGCCAGAAAAGGTACCTCAGGATGTAAAGTACATTGTCTTCCAGACATCCCCATGATGTGGCTTGTGAGACCATGGCTCCATCCTCAGACAGCCTCACAGCTGAGCTCTTGCAAGTCAGTTTGATACTCATGGAGATGTACTTTACATCCGAACCCATGTTTTCTAGCATTGAGGCACTATTTATACTGCCATATTCCCATTGAGTCATTTTTTCAACATTACGGCATGTGGAAATTAAGGAATTTCAATATTTATTAATGTAGATCATAGAATTTCATAGATTCATAGAATGTTACGGTACAGAAGGAGGCCATTCGACCCATTGAGTCTGTGCTGGCTCTTTGACAGAGCAAGTCACTTTCACTAACCCCAATCATCAGCTTTCTCCCCATAATCCTGCAAACCTATCTTCCCCAGATACCTGGTGATCACTTAGATCTTGTGATCTCACAAGTTCATAAAATCGGTGCCATACCTAGTTTTTCGCATTTACTATCTTAATTCATATTTAATGATAACTACTTCTACCTAGCAAAAGAGCAATCCAATAAGAGCAAAGAATTAAATTCCGAGAGGCAAATATTTGTTCAATTCAAATGGTGAAGCTGAAACAGCAATAAAGGATATGAAGCGTCATTACTTTTATTGCTTTTTAAATCAACAAATATTCCAGTGTTTCTTCTAATTTCCCAGAAGAATGAAATTGCAATCCATCGATCAATGGGAAAGTCTGTGTGTCCGAGTTGTGAGCAGGAAGATGGTGGCAATGCTCTCATCCATTTCATGCTGAGCTGTGTTGCCCACCATGAAGCTTGCCAGGAGTTCCTGGTGCCTGTCATCCACCTTGTGAGGGCTCAATCAAGCTTACGTTTGACAGATGGCAAATGACCAACATATGACTATCCTCCTGGGGGTGAGGGGGAGGGAGTGAGGTAAGCAGGGTCTTCTTGGAGCTAAACTGGCTCCAAGGTGACATATTTGGCAAGATTCTGTCACTTTTTCCATTCAGCTCCCATTAACCCTGCAAGTCAAAGTCCTAATGGGTACAGTGGTCCTAGCTGGACAAACAGTGGGAAAGCTTTCAATGGCAGCGCTTTTAATGGCAACCTACGTGGTTTTAGATGGTTAGACTCCAACACACTCTGGGGTCCCTAGACCTTGGCTCTTGCCAACCTGCGCCAAATACTTTCCAGAATTAGGTAAGCAGAATGTGTCCCACCAGGCAGAGAGTGCCAATTCCATTCCAATATACATCTCTGGATTTTCCATGTGTAGGTAAAAAACATGGAACTCTCAGTTTGGTTTGGATATTGTTAAGCATAATGATGGGTTTCCTCACATGTCAGACACCCGGTTGTCCCCCCAAAAATTCAGTGAATGACAATCATAATAAAAACTATTTTCATCCAAATAAAATTTTTGAAACCCAAGTTTTTTTTATTTTGGTTTGGCCTTCCAGATTAATCCTGGAGAAGAAAGGCAATCCCAGGCTCCTGTTCTCCACCACTAACTAGCTCCTCCCTCTCCGACATACTCGCAGATACTTTACTTTGAATCTCACTGCGAGAAAATGCTGGACTGCCTTGAGTCCAAAATCA